TTCTAAGTGCCTCTCAGTTCTTTTCTTTCTGCATGCCTGTGCAGATGTGAACCCAATCTTTATCCTTGTATTCGTTTTTGTTTGGATAATGTATTGTTTTAAAATATTTGTCTACAAATAAGTTTGCCATTCTCTTTTTCTTGGTTTTTGTGTGGAATTAGTCTGATGGTTAGGCTCACTCGGCATTCAAGATGGCGAAAGAGATCAGGGTTCAGGACTTCAGCAAGATATATTGTCAGGACACTGACTCATCTTCAAGCAGAATTTTCTGCTGGGTCCCTGACTAAGAAGGCGTACTCATATACATCAGAAAAGGATCCAGTTGCACGGGGCTGCATTATTAAAAGCGTTTTGCTCTGACTGTCGAAGTGGAAGTAATTTAAGAATTTGGGGACCCTAATAAGATGATTATGACTTGTCTTTTACTTCACAATTTTCTCTTGTTTAGTAGATTTGTTATTTTATTGGGATACTTGACTCCAAGGTCTACCTTTCGTGTTGCTGTTCAAGGAGGCTCAGGCTTGAACTGCAGTTTGGACGGCAGTCATATCATCCTTTAGAGAACAGGTATTTTAAAGGTTTCATGGGTGTGGGTGTATAATATATAATCATAACTTGTATATCCACAGTATTGAAACTTTTAGTTTCCACAAGGCTAATGGAGGCTTTTATTGAGCCTCTTAGGACCAGCTTTCTCTTGTATCCTTCACTGAAGATTTCTCCCCTTGTGACTGTAACATTTGTCAAAAGACCATCAGAACTGCAGACTTTGACAGATTTTTCTTCTAAAAATTTTCATAAGAGGTCTTGGATTTCCCTTTAAACTACTTTTTTTTGGGGGGGGGAGGGGTGTGGAACAGGGGGGATAAATACTGTTTCTAAGCTTCATGAGCTTTTAGGTTAAGGTTGGTTGCACACTGACCCTGACCAGACAATGTATTTTATAGCAGTCTTCAAGATTGTGACTTTTGGTGAAAAGTCCATTTCAATGTAGAGATGACCTAAACAAATCTGAGGCTGTAAAGAGGCTGATGTTGGTTCCTTAGTCTCAAATCCCCACAAATAAGGAACTATGAGTCTATAAAGCACAGTTCCAGGGTCAGACCTCATGTGTGATGCCCTTCTTCTTTGAGATGTGGGACCCTGCAGTCCCGTCACCTTAGACCCTGAAACCAGTGCTTCGGACCCCCCAGGGCCCATTCTGCCTCCCCTAGTTTGATCTCACCCCTTCTGAGAGTCAGAGGTTTGGCAGAGTCCCTCCTACCTTTTCCCTTTCCAGCTAGTCCTTCTTGCATGTGGTGATGGTCACTGCCCCTGTTCAGAGAAACCAGGCCATCTGCTTAGCTGGAAAACTTTCCTCTTTGCCTCAATAGGCCCCTCATTAGGAAAAAAAAGTATTGTTCCACTAGCAGAGGACAGCAGTTGAGACTATTGAAGTTGATGGCCCTAAAATGCCATCTTGATAGCTGCCAGGCCCAGGAAAGGGACTTGACACCTGACTGAAGGCTCATCCCAGAGAAGCTAGCTGGAATGCAATTCAATATGCATGACTTGGAGAAGACTAGAAGTGTGTTCAGCACATACAAAACAAAGTTTACAGTTTGATACAGACATGTCCCCCCAGTCACAGAGTCTTCTTAATCTCAAAAGTGGAGTATGGCTGGCCTAGTGCTTTTCATGGCACAGGATAGGGGAAATCAATTGTTTTAGGGGAAGGACCTGCCTCTCCTTACTCCAGGAAATTAATAGTGGTATAAAAGCCCCACTACTTAAACTATTTGAAATTTGACCAGGCATATAGGGTGAAGGCCTTAAATTTGGAAAAGTTTGAGACTGTATATGCAGAGTTTTTCAGGCTAGAGGGTGACAGAATAAGTAGCTATATTTCCTTCTTTCTAGCCATTAAAAAAAACCCTAATACAATAGTGTTAATTTTGAGGCTATGTTTAAATGTACCAGTGGATTGTGATAAATATACATAAAGTTTGTTTTAAATTGTAGTTTCATTGGTTTGTAGGATTCATCCTGTTTTTGTAGTCATTCATACAAATTGTACATTCTAAAGGAATACTAACAGAACTTATAGTTTAATAGCATCTGCTGTCAAAATTTCTGCATTCGACAAAATTAATTCCAAAAGCTTTCTGCAAAAATTACCATTTTATTTATGTCAAAATCTAACTTAAGACTACTTATCTTATTTTTACATTATTGGTACAGTGGCTATAGATATGGGTTGGTCCAATTTTCCTTTGATATCATTCCAGACTTACAGTATGTTCACTAAAAACAGCAGTAGATCTAGAAACAAAATAATGACAGCAAATGGAGGAATATCATTATTCCCATTTAAGACCTTCATCCTGCAGTCTTTCCAACTGCAACCATCTGTAATCCTACATAAAATCTGTTTTTTGTCATACCTTAATTATAATTTTATTTTACAAAAATCCCTTTCATTTCACGAGGACATGTTTTAGTTGGATGCCAGACATGCAGTGTTGTCTTCTTCTCAGGGTGATAACCCCATGCAAATAGCGTCCTGGGTTCTTCAACAACTGCTCATTCCCTGACCCAGTTCCATTAGTGGGAGAATCAATTATTAATGGACTAAAAGTGTGTGTATGGAAAACCTATGTCAATTCTTGGTTACGTGGCTGAGATACAAAAATATATGCACACATTTACATATCTTACCTAAAGTCACATACGCTGAAGCATGCAAAGACTCCTAAACATGATGCTGAACCCTTAAGGCCTTAATGCTGCAACTGGATTTGCACGGATGGACCCTCAGAGCCAGAGTATGACTGAAGCCAGTAGAACTTCATATAGGTACAAAGGTCTACCTGCATAGATCACAACTGGGCTTAAATTTATACAGGGAAGATTTTCTTAACTTTATAAATGGATGGGGAGGAAAGATAGCGAAAAGGAAAAAATTCACAGCTACAATAATAAAGACCCAAAGGATTCCATAGTCAAGTGTAGAATTGTCAGCTTCCATAAGCAGCATATACTTTGGCATAAGGATACCATTTCATAGAGCATGTAAATGATAAAAAATTAAGGGGATAAATTCTGGATCCCTTGAACTCAATGGCAAAATTACCACAGACTTCAGTGAGGCATTGTTTAGACCTCTGCTTTTTGTTCTTCCTAGGGTCTGTACAGAAGACAGGCTATATATTAAATCATGTATTTTGCAATAGACAAAAATGTATTATCCTTCAATTTTACATTGTTTTCAGATAGGGCAGCCCAGTACTTTGTCAATATATTTCGTAAATACAGTAAATTGAGATACAGTTGTAGTCTCGTCTATTATTCTGCACTAAAAACAAGTACAAAGCACTCAATTAACTTTTTATGCTGATGCAAACCAGAAAGGCAGGAGTTTTTGGAATGTGGGGGCTAAAAAGTTATTCTGGGATTACTCTACTTGAAGTCCACGCAGTGTTGTAATCCATGTTTGTTTTTTCTATCATGGCTCAATTTTTCCATTGACAAGATCTCCTGTACTTTCTGAAACCACTGATTCAAGTGGGTAAACAGATTTCCATGTCACTTTTTTGAGCAGTTAATCTAGCTCAATAGTGTGGACTTTCTTCTCTACCCCTAAGGTATGAAAAACAAACAAACCACAACGATGAACCTAATCCTCTAAGATGCCAAATACTTTTGAATGTTTTTAAAGTCAATATATCTGAAAGAACTCTGACTCTCACAAGACTGGACTGTTAAAACTTAAGTATTGTAGTCATTTAAATAAATCAAAGTTGAGTCACGGAGCAGTTAAAAGCTGGTAGGCAGAATAGTGTCACACTTAAGAGTACAACACTTATTGATATTTGTCTCCTGGCTGACTGCTGAGCCACAATGCAGTGTAAGTGAATGAATGCACAGGTTAACTCCAGGTAGCACAAATTCCTTCAGAAATTCCTGATCAACAAAGCCACGATCAACAAACTCTCTCTTCCCCGCCCCCCCCCCCCCAAAAACAAAACAAAAAAACCCCACAACCCAACCCCCCTCCCAAATTCCCCTACCATTAAATTGGCACTTAAATGGCACCGCAAATTGTCTTGGAATAGTCACACTATAGGATACTCTACTAGAAATCCTGGACAAAAAGTTGCATTGTACATTACACACACTGTATTTTATAACAGTCTTCCATTGTAGTCTAATTCAGTAAAACAGGAATAGAACAGTGAATAGGGCAAATGCCCACACTCAAAGTAAATGTGAGGTATTAGTATCTTCTATGAAGGCCACTGCTTTTGTCACTAAACTAACAGTAGTATAGTCTTGTTAAGAATTCCTTTGCTATTGTGAATTATGAAGGCAGAAGCCAGGAAGCTAGTTCTTTCAAGAAAGTGGACTTAAGATGATAGTTTTGGATTCAAGGGGAAAAGATAGTGTATTTAATCCAAGTAACACTTCCACAGTCCAACCTGGGTCAAAAATGGAGTCACTAGGACACTAATAGGCCAAACATAGTGCCCTCCAGGGAAAATAAAAGTTGTATTTTTACTGGAACAGGATCATTTCTAAATTCCCTCATCTACTCAGTAGTGTTCTGAGGTCACTTCTAGTTTTGGAATCAGTTCATAATACACCAGTTTAGTTAGCTGTAAATAATCAAAAGCAGTTTCACATTTGGAAATGGATTACAGACATTCCTTGATACAAAAGAGCAGTAAAAGTGCTTCTAGCACTTGGCAAATATTATTGTACTATATATAGTTAAGCCACCCAGGTAGTACAGAAGCTTTCAGGAAATAAACTATCCAAGAGATGACCTAATAGGTCTTTTTCCTTTTCTATTTTTTAATATTTCCAGAAGTACAACACTACCCCCTTGTGGTGCAAAAAAGAACAAAATAGCCAACAATGTTTAGCTTAGCTAATAGCATTAACTTCCAGTACATATTAGAATATAATTATGTACTCAAAAGAAATCCATAATTGGCGAATCAATGAAAAGAGAACGGGCATAAGACCACAAAATATTTACCTCAATAAAAGCATGTAAAGCGATTATAATTTAAAGTGATTTTTTTTTTACAGCACATTTTACAAAATTTCAATTTGTAGAAGCCAAGCTTTTCCAAAAGCCTTTTAAAGGCACTAAATTCACAAGTAATTAACCAATAATCAGTACAGAAGAGATGGATAGCAGCACAAGTATCTAGAGAAGATAACTTTTTTTTACAAAGAGGCAAAGTTCAACAAAACTTTAAATAAATGCTAAAACAAAAAGAAGAACCCACACACGCTAAAAGTTACCCAAGCTGTGCATAAGTTAGTTTCAAGAGCAGAAATATAATACATTCACTTTACCACCATTAAATACTAAATTCATTCCCAAATAACTGTGCATCTCCCACTCTCCACCCCACCCAAAAGTTGAAGCATGAGACGTTTAAAAAATGACAAGTTTTGGCCACCTTTGTTTTGCATTCTGAGATTTTTGTGTGAAAAATATTCTTAGCATACACCTCTGTTGTACTGCAATGGCAAAGTACTGTTGAATCTTCATATGCAAACAGCAAAAGCCACACAATGAATAAGTGCCACTCAGCTGCAGAAACTGGCAAATTATTGGCAGTATTTGATCCTCTTCTTTTCAGATGCCACACTTCTTTATCCAACCTGCCACTAGAAAAATAAAACAAAGTTGTATGTATGCAATAAACTCAGTGATTCATTATGGTCCACATACTTCATTCAAATCCACCAATACTTTTTATGTGCAACAAGAGGATGCACAACTTTCTAGATACTATCCCTGTCCCAAAAAGAGTTTACCATCTAAAAGGAAAGCAGCAACTTATTAAAAAGGTAAGGAAGACGGAAATAAGCATATATAAAGTGTAGATAAAAAAAAAACAGATGCACACCAAAAATACATAACTTCTCCCTTGCCTGTATTATTAATTGGCTAATTTCTTATAAGCATGGAGGAAAAAACATGGTTTCTGAAGGAGGTTGCCATCTTACAAGTACGGTCAGTAAGGGTGTTCCATGTGCAGGGAGCAGCCTGGAATTAGGTGTGAATATGATTGTGGGAGAAGTTGATAAATGGGAAGTCAACATTCGCATTAATGGTGGAGCAGAGAGGATGGGAGCAATGCAATAAGAGACAGGAGTGGACAAGTGGTGAAGGACAGAGCTGTGAAAAGCCTTGAAGATTAGGAAAAGTAGCTTGCGTTTTGTGGAAGAAAAAGGAGACCTAGTGGAAGAATTCAAAGAGGGGGTGGGTGATATAATAAGACAACACGAAGGAAGATGAATGATCTTAGAAGCTGCATTTCGAATGGATTGGAGGGAAGGATCAAATGGGTATTGGAGAAATCATAAGAAGAGGCAGGTGCAATAGTCAATGTGGGATAAAGAGTCTGAACAAGATTTTGCTGTGGGAATAAAAAGGAAATATTGCAGCTTAGAAACTTGACAGGAATTGAATCATTGACAAAATTTGTCTACAACCTAGATATGCGGGTCAAGGAAGAAGAAATTAAATAGGACTCATGATTGGCCTCAGTGACCGGGAGCAGGGTGATACTGTTGATAACCGGTGAGAATGCAAGTGGATAAGAAGGATCTGGAAGGAAACTTCAGTTTGGGACATGTTAAGTTGACTTCTGCTTTCTATTTGTGCTTACTTTGTTTTGTATAGTTCTTTAGTACAGTGCTTCTCAAAGCCGGTCCGCTGCTTGTTGAAGGAAAGCCCCTGGCGGTCCGGGCCGGTTTGTTTACCTGCCGCATCTGCAGGTTCGGCCGATCGCAGCTCCCACTGGCCGCAGTTCACCGTCCCAGGCCAACGGGGGCTGCAGGAAGCGGTGCGGGCTGAGGGACATACTGGCCGCCGCTTCCAGCAACCCCCATTGGCCTGGAGCGGTGAACCGTGGCCAGTGGGAGCCACAATCGGCCGAACCTGCGGAAGCAGCAGGTAAACAAACCATCCCGAACCACCAGGGGCTTTCTCTGAACAAGCGGCGGCCCGACTTTGAGAAGCGCTGCTTTAGTAGACGTATACCAACAAAACTGAACTTACTAATAAAGCTAGTTAAATCTAAAAACATTTTTAAAAGGATTTAACAAAGTAAATCTTAAAACTTACTCTAAGTCCGCCTCCTCCTCCTCCAGAGCTTGAAGATGCAATTTGTTTCTCCATTTCCTCCTGTTTCTTTTTCTTTTGCTCCACAGAATATGGGTTCTTAACACCCCGAGAGGTGGCCTTTAGGGAAATAAGATAGGGTAAAATACTGCAGTCCAGTTTCTTTCCAAAGAAATAAAATCTTGGCAACTATATTTTGTGGGTTTCTATTTGGAAGCAATATTGAAACACTAATTAATACTAGTATGTAACACAGCAGCATAACTTTTTAAGGTACTTTTTCACATTGCACAGTATTTGTCAGTGATGGCAATGGGGTATTCTCTTATTTCATTTTTATTTGTATATCCAGCAGGGCATAATTTAATGAGTAAATACATGTGGTTTGTATTGAAATTGTAAAATTAAACGTTTTCCCCCTCTCTCCTTCAAGAACTCCCAAGCACTTTGATCCTGCAGTTTTTCCAATTGGTATGAGCTCCATATTCTTACCTTCACCAATTGAATTTTAATTTAGAAAGGATGGTTTAGGCAGTCTGCTGCATCCAAGAACCCAAACTGTTACTTTATTATGGGATCACTGCCCCACCTTCTCTTACCACATGGATTCCTGCAAGTACAGGGCATCCTATGGCTAACAGAGAGATGTTAGCCAAGAGGTCTCATTACAATTTACAATAAATGCATGAGGGGAGATGACCGATTTAATTTCCACATCTACAGTCCTTATGTAAACCCTACCACAGAAGTCAATGGGAATTTTACATGCAGCAGAACTGCATGGCCAAGTGGTTAGGGGCCCAGCTTAGGATGTGTAAAACAAAGGTTCAATTCCTATACCACAAATATCCTCTGTGACCCTGGGCAAGTCACTATTTGTGCCTCAATTGTCCATCTGTAAAATAGGGTTAATAGTACTTTCCCCTACCTCATAGGGGCGTTGTGAGGATATATACATTACAAGATTGAGGCACTGAGCTACTATGGCGATGGGGCCATATAAGTACCTAAATTAGAGCAATATAAGGTTCTAAAACATGAATACCAAGGCCGTACATAATAGCTTCTTTTTCCTCTTATTTATTTTGAAATCTGAACTTTACAGAATTTTTAATGCACTTCTAACTCATAATTTAGAGCTATAATACTACATGTGAGCAACAGAAAGAATAAGGTTAAATCTATGCTGAGAGGAAAGAGGAACAGACTGTTAGCACAAATCCAAGATGGTGGTGACTGATATCGATCAAAGCAGAGTTGTGACAAAGCAAGACTGTAGACTGAGTAAGAATGTGAAGAGAGGCATTAAGCTGTCAATGTAATATAAAATATGAAGTAAAGAGATCTGAACAGTATATTAGATTAGCATATTGTTTGCACAGAAACAGAATGACCTAGCTCCAGCATGGTTTGAACACAGGGCTGGAAGCCTTAGTTCTAGTCATTTACACACACACACGTGTCAAGTTGCGTGTTTGCAAAATAGAAGCTTTAGTTTGTGTCTATTTTCACCATCTACTATATCTCTTCCTATATGGTATTTATCTACCTACCACTCAGGGTTGTTGCAAGGATATATATTTAGAAAGTACTTTGAGAGTCAAAGCACAGTAGCTGTACTAAATCTTTAACAAAATATATAAAATTAAAAAATAATACAAAAAAAAAAAAAAAAGTTTTAAAAAAAAAAAAAAAAAAAAAAAATTAAAATGTAGTCCAAAGCAAACCAAAAAAGTTTTAATAAAAGGGCCTTTAAATATCACTTAAATGCTGCTATAATAATTTAGAAAGTGCTTTTATTCATGACTCAAATATGAATCATGATCTTTTAAACCGGAGCAAACAGAATAAGCCCGTACCAGCAAAAGGCCAACAAACTATACAGAGAACAACCACCACCAATGTTCATACAATACACACATTTATTATCTTCAGATTTCAGCTGCATATTTGAAATTCATCAAGACATTTTAGAGAATTTGGATTATGCAGTGTTTAAAAAAAGTCTGGTAAGGTGAAAATAAGGCTACAGTTCTATTGCTTTAGGCTTCTGTATGTGTTTCCACCCTCCTATTATTACCTCTGCCCTAAGGCACATACTACCTCCACTTTCCTAAGTTTAAGACCTCCCAGCTTCAACACCCAAGTCCCCAACTTTTCGGCCCAGAGTTTGTCAATGCCACTGCTTAATTGACTGGGATGAGGAAAGAGACCCATATTTCCCTCATGTTAATGAAGCAAACAGCCAACAAATTCAGCTACGTTGAGCTTTTAGAAGTAGCAAGTAACACTTGCAAATGCCGCCAAAACAATTGCAATTTTTGAAAAATGCAACTGAAATCTCTTTGGTGTTTGTGGTCAAAGTAAAACAAAAATATCACTGACAAAAATCAATTTCTTCTTTGGTTTATAAGAACTTTCCAGCTTTGCATTCACATTTTATAATGGCAGGGATTTTCAACAGCGCTAATAGCCATTTGAATTTCAATGGGAGTCAGGTGCCTAACTATCTTAAGCTTTTTTCAATATCCCTGCCAATGTTCCATGACATCATTGTAAGAATACCCATCAAATACATTATACCCATCAAATTAGTAACATGACAGCCAATGCAATGATAAATTCCACTTGCCTATAGTCCACGTATGCTGTTCAGCTGCATTTCGGCAAAGAAACCTCTGGTATTTCCCATATTAAAACCAGTGGCTACATAACAAGTTTCTGAATAAATGTAATGTTACCTCCATCTGCCTCTTTTCTGCGGCTTCTGCAAGTTGTCTTCTTTTAATTTCCTACAGAAAATTTGAAAAAAGGAGTTATATTCCACTGTAGTAGAGAAAACAGAATAAATTGTTTAACAATGAAAATATAGTTTTAAAAAAGATTAAATGATATAATGCATAGACTACTCCATGTCTGTTCCTTGTCATTCATATGAACAATGGAAGTTATTTAATCAAATTCTGAACTTAAGTCAAACAGCAGCTGCTTCTTCTCTGTTATAAGTATTAAAGTAACTACATAAGGACAGTATGTTTTTGGTTATTAAGATGGTAGAGTGTTATTGCTGCTATGATTTATTCCAGTCTTTGAGTAACAGTAGTTAGTGTTATGCAGATATATCCATTAGAAGGCCACATTTCAGATGACTTGTATCTTTACCGCGCCAAAAAAAAAAAAAAAAAAATCATTCTAGGATGAAACATGCAATAAGAAGGTATTTATAGGGCAGAGAAATGGAGTTATTCCATAAATTGTCCTTGTCCTTTGAAGAGAAAAGAAAAATGAGATCTTGGTATGATTGCTGTTTCCCTGAGGGCCTCATGAAAATAACCTCATGAGACGTGCCTCATCACAAGCATAAATATTTTAAAAACAAACATCATGAAACCTCTGATAGTAATGTTTACAAAACTACTGTAATTAGACTAGCTATCACTATAAATGGATTTTCACTGAATGCAAGTTCACTAAAACCAGGCTCCACTGTTTTCCAGAGTTAGAAAAGCAGATTTATTTCCTTACCAGTTAAATCCCAACCAGGATCTTGATCCAACAATCAGGTCAGCTAGCATGGGCCCCTAAACCAATGAAGAGTCCCACTGATTCTGAAGTCAGTGGGCTTCCACAAGGATACAGGGAACTATGCTAAGAAAATTTGTTCCCATGTCAGTAATAAATGGTAGTGAATGATGGCATATGTGAAATGAGTTCACCATCTTAGTAAAGTTTCTAGTACAAGGGTGCATATAACAAACAGGAGTGTAACAGAGAGATCAAGCACGGGTTTAGAGACAGAATTACCCTCTCACTCTAAGAGATGGTCCCGCCAGATCTCTCTTTGTGCTCCTGCGGATACTTCAAGTGCAGGACACCTGTGACTGAGACTGACAAACTCCAAATTGTGTTAATTTTAGTTCATGCTAGAGGTTTAAGGGGGGCATGGATTAGCATTCATTCGACTCTCCCCATCAGTACGCAGCCCAGGGAAGCTAATGATCCAACCAGCGGACCAAATTTGGTGATGAATCCTGGTCACGTGCCTCCTGAGACATGTACACATGCTAAGAAGAAGGGGTGCTACCCTATGTTTTTTGTTCTCTGGTTACATACTGTGTGGTAAGGTACTGACCCTGCGGTACCCAGCTGGTAGAAGGACAGCTGCATAGCTTTACCAAGAAGCACCTAGACTTTTGGACAGTATAAAATAACAGGATTTTCAATGTTTTAAAACATTATAAAGAGATACATTTATAAATTAGTTTGTCAAATTGAGTATGTTTTGATTTTGTTTTTTTAGTTCTTGAGAGTTTTCTGTTGATGTTTATCTCGTTGTCCCCCCACCCGCTGCCAATCAAGGAAGAAACTGACTAACAAACATTCATATGACACTACCCATATGTGCAAATACTTGCAAGATCCGGTCTGTAGAAAGGAAAGAGCGAAACTGATATACCAAGTGCTGTCAAATGCCCAAAGCAGACAAGATGGAATGGGAGAAAAATATCTGTTGCCCATCAACTTCTTTCAGTTACAAGTAAGACCTAAATTATTAAAATTTTCTTACAAAAATATGATTTTCAAGTTGGTGTCCCTTTAAAGATAAATGTACTTAACAAAAACAAACCTAGAGCACTATGGAGCCGCTTCTGCAGATCCATGCAAGATCAATGTTTTGGTTTTTTTTTTTTTTTTTAATTAAAGGGTATATTTAACCCTTAATTATACATCGAGGGCTTAATTCCCTCTGTCCCCCAAATAAATATTTAAAAATGCAGTCTTTTAACAGGATCTCTTACTACGTGTATGTCACTGGAGTATGTTATGGGTGCACCCTTGGGAGCAGGGCTGGTGCAAGGAAGTTTCGCGCCCTAGGTGAAACTTCCACCTTGCGCCATCCCCCCACCCAGCTAACCCCGCCTGCCGCCCGGGGAGCCCCCCCCCCTCCCCGCAGCAGCTACCCCCCTTCTGCAGCTAGCCCCGTCCGGGGAGATTCCCCCCCAATGGAAGCTAACCCCGCCCGGGGATCCCACCCCAGCTCACCGCCGGCGCTGCTCTAATTCTCCTCCCCCTCCCAGGCGGGCGACCCCGATTGGAGGAGAATTAGAGCAGGGGCTGTGTGCTCAGCAGACGAGGCAGAGTGGAGGTGATCTGGAGCAGGGCCACCCAGAGAATTCAGGGGGCCTGGGGCAAAGCAATTTTGGGGGCCCCTTCCATAAAAAAAAAGTTGCAATACTATAGAATATTATATTCTCATGAGGGCCCCTGTGGGGCCTGGGGCAAATTGCCCCACTTGCTCCCCCAGGTGGCCCTGATCTAGAGCAGGGAGTGGTTCCCCTGTGCGCGCCCCCCCCTTACTTATTTTAATCCTACGATTATGGGAAAACCACACCCTGGCAAGTCGCGCCTCTGTGGGGTAATTTCAAAACCCGACAAAAATAGAAAAGCAAGCAAACAAACCGCTAGCCCAGAAAAAACCGTTCGGAGGAGGAGCTGAAAGGAGGCTGCACCTGCTGGGGGCCTGCTCCGGGGCGGGGGTCCCTGCCCAGCTGGCGTGTGGCGGGGCCGGGGAGCGCGGTGTGCGCGGCCCAGCTAGGGCGTGTCGGGGGGCAGAGGAGCTGGGCTCCCGGAGTGCGGAGGTGCCGTGCGCGCCGCACTCACCGGGTCGGGCGTCTCCACCACGTCCTCGGCGGCTCCCCCCAAGCAGGGCAGGCAGAGCCCCATGCCGGGCCCCGCTCCGCCGGGCCGCCTAGCGCTCGCTCTCCCGGCTCAGGCAGCCAGAGCTCCGGGGACGCGCCGCGGCGATCCCGCCCGGCACCCTCAGAGCGCGGAGCCCGGCAGGGCCCGCCCAGTTCTGGGATCGGGCACACGGCGCCACCTGCAGCTCCGGAGCTGCCGCTGCTGCCGCCGCCGCCGCCGCCGCGGGGTGGGTGGGGCCGGCTGCCGCGAGACAAAGGCCGGAGGGAAGCTGGCTGCAGGCTCGGGGGAAGGCGGGAGTCAGAGTTCCACCATTGTCCTGTTACCGGAGGGCTCGGCTACCGCAGGGTGTCGTGTAGGAATGTGCTACTGGTAGCAGTTACTGATAGGTTAGATTGTAAGAAACTGCTACCTGATGTAGCAAATGCCTACAGGTAGCAGTTTCTTGCACCATAGTATATGTGAAATTGCTATGCGTAGAAATGTGCTATCTGTATAGCAGTTATTGATACGTATAGATTGTAAGAAACAGCTTTTGTAAAAAAATGCTACTTGATTTTTTACATGCTTGAAAACTGTTATCATGTTTTAATCTTCCCTCATATGTCATGTTCTCTAGACCTTTAATTTTTTTTCCCTCTTCTCTGGACTTTTTCTAATTTGTCCACATCTTTCCTGAAATCTGGTGCCCAGAACTGGATACAATACTCCAATCGAGGCCTAATCAGCGCAGAGTAGAACGGACATCCCAGAGTGATGTTCTGTTTTTTTGCAGCAGCATTACACTGTTCACTCATATTCAGCTTGTGGTCCACTAGGAACCCTAGATCCCTTTCCGCAGTACTCCTTCCTAGGAAGTCATTTTCCATTTTGTATGCGTGCAGCTGATTGTTTCTTCCTAAATGGAGTACTTTGCATTTCTCTTTTTTGAATTTTATCCTATTTATTTCAGACTATTTCTCCAGTTTGTCCAGATCATTTTGAATTTTCATCCTATCCTCCCAAGCACTTGCAACCCCAGCTTGTTATCATTCACAAACTTTATAAGTATACTCTCTATGCCTTTTATCTCAATCATTGATTAAGATTTTGAATAAAACCATATCCAGAACCGATCCCTGCAGAACCCCACTCATTATGCCCTTTCAGCCTGACTGTGAATCACTGATAACTACGGTCGGAACTGTTTTCCAACTAGTTTTGCACCCATCTTATTTTAGCTCCATCTAGGTTGCATTTCCATAGTTTGTTTATGAGAAGGTCATGGGAGACAGTATCAAAAGCCTTACTAAAGGCAAGATAGACCATGATGACCACTTCCCTGCATCCGTTTTAGCAAAGTAGGACCTGTCACTGCTGCAGGTAGCACGGTCCTACAGATAGCATTTCTCTCTCACACACACACACACACTCACTCACACTCTCTCTCTCTCTCTGCAACCTGTAGGGATGTGCTACCTGTAACACTGCTATATATGTGATGAAGCTAATTCCTACAGGTAGCAGAGACATCGTGAATTTTTACCATTAGCAGTTCCTGAGGGCTGTGAAGGGCGGTACCTGTTGACACTCAGGTAAACAGTGTCTCGCAGCCAGCTAGCGGCTTTCCCTTACAGACCGCAACACATAGTTTGAAAACCTCTGGCCTAGCACAATAAGCAAACCTACTGTGCTATTTGCATTAGGAGCAAAAGAAACCAATGCTGAATACTGCAGCTGACAGAATGTGATGTAAACAAGTATCACCCAGATCTCTCTCTTGATGGAAAAGCTTTCTGCTAAACTCTGCAACAGGGCCGCCCAGAGGATTCAGGGGGCCTGGGGTCTTCGGCGGCGGGTCCCAGGGTGGAAGGACCCCCTGCCGCGGGTCTTCGGTGCACTTCGGCGGCGGGTCCCGGGGCGAGCGGACCCCCCCCGTCGCCGAATTGCCGCCGAAGTCCTGGAGCGGAAGACGCTCCAGGGGCCCGGGCCCTGTGAGAGTTTTCCGGGGCCCCCAGAGCGAGTGAAGGACCCCACTCCAGGGGCCCCGAAAAACTCTCGTGGGGGCCCCTGCGGGGCCCGGGGCCTGGGGCAAATTGCCCCACTTGCCCCCCCTCTGGGCGGCCCTGCAGCCCAATCACACTACCTACCTTCATCTGGCTTCTCTCACTCAGCACAAAACAAAATACACACAAGATGACATTTGGATGAGTTTCTGATTTCAGCAGCAGATCTTTTCACCCCTCTGGATCTATCACCAGGTGTTTGACGGAAGTTGGTGTGCCTCCCACCTCTCTTGTATGGTGTAGTGTACAAAAGAGATAGAGAAATGATTTTTGAAAACAAACATTCCATTCCTACATGGAAACTATTGACATGCTTGATAAATGGAAGTGTGTCAACAAATTCTTTAAAAACAACTGTGTGGTAAGCAATACCTTAGAGCAGTGGTTCCCAAAGTGGGGTTCGTGAACCCCTGGGGGTTCGCAGGACATTTCAGGGGGTTCGCAAGAAAAAATTCATTAATGGCGGCCAGAGGACTCTGCTGGGACCCAGTTGCAGGGCAGACAGACTGAGCCCCAGGGAGAGCGGGGCCGGGCAGCCCGAGCCCTCCCCTGTCAGCCAGGGAGCCGGCAGCCTGAGCCCCATCGGCAGCCCGAGCCCTCCCCTGTCAGCCAGGGAGCCGGCAGCCTGAGCCCTACCCTGTCAGCCAGGGAGCCGGCAGCCCGAGCCCCTCCCCTGTCAGAGGGGGAGCCAGCAGCCCGAGCCCCAGCGAGAGCGGGGCCGGGCAGTTTGATCTAGCAGCCCGAACCCTCCCCTGTCAGCCAGGGAGCCGGCAGCCCGATCCTTGGGGAGAGCGGGCAGTTTGAGTCGGCAGCCCCAGCCCTCCTCTGTCAGCGGGGGAGCCGGCAGCCCGAGCCCCAGGGAGAGCGGGGCCGGGCAGTTGGGGCGGCAGCCCGAGTCCCGGCGGTCAGTGGGGGAGCCGGCAGCCCGAGCCACAGCGCTCCGCGCAGGGCTGGCAGCCCGAGCCCCAGGGAGAGCGGGGCCGGGCAGTAGGGGCTGGCAGCCCGAGCCCCGCCCCCGTCAGCGGGCGAGCCGGCAGCCCGAACCCCAGCCCGAGCCACAGGAATTTGCCAAATCTCATCTAAAGCCAAAACCACAGCCCTCCTTGTTACCACCAGCCACAACCTCACCCGAAACTAGAGGTGGGTGAAAAATACCAAGCATTTTTCACAGAAAGTTTTGAATTTTTTTCACATTTTTCAAAATTCCCCAAGAAAAATTTACAAAAAACTGAAACGGAAAAATGGTCCATTTTCAAAAACTGTTTTCATGAAACATTTTTCTGATTTTTGAAAACCAAAAATGAATTTATTTTTATTCGAAACCATTTTTTTTAAACAAAAGCCAAAAAAACATTTTACAGAAACATCTTTGGTTTCTGGTTTTTCTATGTTCGTTAAAAAAAGTTTCAATTAAAAATATTTTTCAGAGGTTCATAGATTCCGGGGCCCAGCAATTGGGGCATTCATCACACTGAGGAAATTTAAACTTAAATCCCTGAAAATATTCATTTTTAGGAGGGGGTTCACGAGATTTCACAATTTAGTGAAAGGGGTTCGCGGGCTGTTAAAGTTTGGGAACCACTGCCTTAGAGAATGGTTTCTCAGTCTTCATCATCCTCTATAACCATGTCATCAAAATCACCTGGATGACTGCTTGAAACTCCTGACACTACACACTCCTCTTCTTCCGTGTGTGTGACCTCCACTTGGCTGTTGTGAGGCGTATGAGATACATTGCTTCCCATTTCTCCTACCTCCTGAGGTTTTCACAGTGTCATCCACAGCAGTTTCCTTTTCCATGTTTCTCTGTGATACGTTTTCCTCACCTAATTTTGGAGGCTATTTAAATACTTTTAGTTGGGAGATACTGTACAACGTTGCTAAACCTTTCCCTAACTTGTTTTCTAATGTAACTCTTTTGCCTTCTACAGCGGCAATTTTGTATGGTCCCACGTAGGTATGTTGTAGCTGCCCTCCCTTTCTTGTTTTCCTTCTCGCATTCAGTAACATGACAGTGTCACCAACCTTGAATGTTATTTCCCCATGTTTACGAGTCTTAGTTTTGGCATACTGTATTTGTTGCTTATCTTGTGCTTTTGAAATATTACTAATAGCCAGTTTAGTTTCAGCATCATGTCTAGCTTCAATTTTCATGATGTACTCTTTGTAGTAATTCTTCATCGAGTTCCTCGAAATCTGTTGGCTTTGGAAACAAATGGAGAAGGAGTTGTGTTTGTAAAATGAACAATCACAGAATAACATATGCACCTGAAAGCTGAAGGACACTTATCGTGTAGTTGTCTGAGACTTGGTCTGGGAATCTTGCCTCAATGCCATACAGTAGTCGATAGGGTGCCAATTTGGTTGTCATGTTTGGTTTTGTTTGCAAAAAAAATACGTCACCAAGAAATTCATCCCAATTAGTTGCACTGTCATCAACCAACTTGCGCAATGCTCTGTAAAAAATGGTGGTGGATTATTTGTGGGGGACGGGAAAGTACTGTCTTTACTGAGAGAAATTGTATGCAATCGAAAAGGCGTAAAGAGGACTATTTGAAATAAAAGACAAGTTGAGTTTCAATGTATTAAACATTTGAAGCAATTTGTAGCTTCTGTCATAGTACATTCTCCTTTCTATTAATACTGTAATTTTCCCTGCCCTAAAATTACCTTTTGATGGATTTGTTTCTGTTTTCAGCTAGTCCATTGGTTTGTAGATGGTATGGGTTGGTGAAGCTACGTTGTATTCCCAATTTTTTGCACATCTCTAGGTTAAGATGAAAGGAAAAAATGTATGCCATAAACTTTCCTTTGGACAGGCTTGGTGTGTAACCCTAACCCTTTCCCCTGATACCTTACAAGGCATGCTTTACATGTAAGATCACGATTATATGAAAATGAGGAATATGGGGTACTCTCCCCCAAGGTATAGAATATCACATATTCATTTTATGATATAGCTGTAAAACTACTCTTAAAAGTTTTCTAGATAAATCACTGTTTAAAAATGTATAGTGTGTACCTTCTAGAAATGAAATTTAATTCTTCACAACAGAGTTATATATATGTATTAAGGCTATAACAACCAAC